TTGTTGTATCACTCTATTTTCAATGTGCTTGATCACCATATTGAAATAGATTCTTAATAACCTTTGGAAAAACGTATTATGGAGCGAAAAACTTCATCTCGAGTTAGAGTCTACTTGAGTTTAGTGTGTGGTAACTTAGGGATAAGCACCACCTAGCTTGGTTAAAAACGGTCGTTTGTCTAAGAACCATAATTGCAGAAAATCTAGGCTGTTTGGAAAAGCATCTTGTCTGTTTGACTACTGCATTCACTCCATTAATGTTGCAGCACGTTAGAGTAGCTAGAAAGAGTCGTTGTTCTCTCCCCCTTACACCTTTATTTTCATTAGAAGTTACTCGTTGTTTGTTATCTTTAGCGAAAATTTAAGTGTGTTTAAGAATATATTTAAACCGCCTACATTATTGTTTATTTTAGCATTTATTCAGACGAAAAATTTATTTAGTTTAATACACTGATTTCTTCGGTAAATAATGAGTGTTTAGGCACTTAGTCTCCGTCGATTCGAACTTTTAATTATTTCCTGCGACTATTGTGTATACTTGCACATATAAGAATTGGTAACATAATCCGAACCAACACTTACACCCGCCTTTCAATTCAATTAAGGTGTTTCAAGTTGGTTTCTAACCTTGAAGCATAACTTTTTTGTTTTAGGAACTTTTCGGTGAAGTTTAGGAGTCTTAGGACACTTTTGTTGTAAGAAGTTATTACTTGGAGGGATGTTTGTTGTGTGATGCGTTTTTGTTTGCTTGCTCTTGCTTGTGCTTTTATTACTAATTTTCAGATTCTAATGATGTATCGATAGTTATGCGAAAGTTATTGGTTGTTGATATAATTTTACACTATTTCATGTGGGCTATGATTATAGATTTATTTTGGATATATTGTTTGGTTGTATCGATGAAATGATATTGGAATATTTGTGAGAAGTCTTTTATGTTGTAAAACATACCATTAACTCTTTTTGTGATGTTTGACTTTTTGTGAGGTTTAAAAAACGTCACGAAACCCTTTTGTGACATTTTTTACGACGTCACCTATGCCCACATCAAGAAAGGTATTCGTGACATTTAAATAAACGTCACCAAAATGTGATTTTGTGACATTTAAAAAACATCACAAAAAGAGTTGTTTTTCATGACGGTTATAAAACGTCACAAAAAATGATTTCGTGACAATTAAAAAACGTCATGAAAAAAGTTAAACCATGACGTTTAATAAACGTCACGATAAAAGAAAAACTGTGACGGTTTTAGATTTCATGACGTTTATTTGACCGTCCCGAAAGACTGATTCCATGGTTAAAAAATGTCACAAAATACTTATTCACGAAAATGAATTTCGTGACGTTTAAAACACGCCAAGAAAGAATAGATTTCGTGACGGTTAAAAAATGTCACAAAAAATGAATTTAATGATGTTGAAAAATGTCACAGTAGACGAATTTAATGACATTAAAAAATGTCACAAAAAAAGTTAGAATAAGCAATATTTTACTGTTTATCAATGTCACAATAACACAAAATTATATAATGAAGTTCTATACAATAAAATCAAAGCGTTAATATACATATACGAACGAAGTATTGTACAATTTAATATACATATACGTTTACAGTATCCGGGCCTTGTAATGTGGGCTTGTAACTCATGTGAGGGCTTTAAAATGGCTGGAGTTTCGGCCCATGCTTGATGGGGGGTTTGGAGAACATTTGGCCCGCCCATTCCAAAAATAGAGCTGGGCCATGCGTTCTGGGCTTTGAGGCCCAGAATTGTCTGCCCTTGGATTGTGGAGGAATTCGCTGAGGTTGGCGATCAGTATCACCTTCAAGCTCCTGTCCTTGGAGAAGGATAACGGGCCGGTTCTCACAAGGGTCGTTCTCAACTTTACAGCCATTTTCTAAGAAAATTGTTGGGAATGTATCCTTACAAAACTTAATCTTCTAGCTATTTTTAAATTTGATAAACTTAGAATATGTTATTTTTAACTTTACTATTTTTAAACCACCAAAAATAACATACTGTTTCTATATAAATAAATACTTGTTTTTGTTTTGTAACACRGTGAAAAAATTCTTTTGAGCATGCTTATCGATTCCATTCGGCTCCAAGCGAGTGCACGCCTGCGTTCGAAGTTGTGTTAACATTGGGAAGCGATCGGCAAATATATGATATAGCACCGTAGTCGTGCCGTAATTGCTCTCAGGGTAGTGGCTTCGTCCACGGCACAACAAGACAATTTTGTTTTTTCATCTAAATTCTCCTTTTTATTTCCAACAATCTGAAAGCAATTAATTGGATGTAATTAGATGAAAAAGAAATCCATCGAGATACATAGTTAGTTACTGAACAAAGCATTTTTGCTACCGATGGAAAATTTGAGAACCACTCTGAATCTGCAATTTTTAAGTACTTATTTTTAATTTATTATTATTATTTTTATCTTCATCGAGTGTTGCATATCCATGCCAAGCTGCTTGTGCAGATAGACACCAGATCTGCTCATCATGCAGCAGCACAGATCAAGTTATTGCATAAGTCTGGCCGTCGCGCGTGGGTCGCCGGTTGCCAGATCTGTAAATGGAGTGATGGTTTACTCATGGGTTGCAGATCCACACCCAATCTGCTCGGTTATGCTGTGTCGACACTGATTTTGATATGATCGAATCGAAAAACCGTCGTACCATCGTTCATGTACAGATCTGGTCGGATCTAGGTGTCGGGCCGCTACTTATTGAGACGCCGGATGTAACGTGCCAGATCTTGTCATTTTGCCCGTGTCTGCTCGTGGATCGAGTTTGCCGCATCGATTGTGTGGGTTACCGCAGATCTGGGTCTACTCGTGGGTCGAGTTCGCTGGATCGATCATACC